CGAGGCCAGCCTGGGCTACCAAGTGAGTTCCAGGAAAGGCGCAAAGGTACACAGAGAAACCCTGTCTCGAAAAACCAAAAAAAAAAAAAAAAAAAGTTTGAATCTTTGAGGGTAACTCTTCTTTGTGGAGTGAAACTTAAATGCTGAAGCATTGTTGTCACGGCGTAGATCCTGACCAGTTAGAAGAGGTGCCAGTCAACGGCCACCACTGGATGCTCACCAGGCCAACATGCACCCTGGAATGCAGGAGGCTGTGTGCTTCACCCAACAGCCTGGGATCTCCAATCCCCAGCTCTGGAGAATCAACTGCAGTTCTCCAGTGTAGACAGAAGGCAGCCCACTCTTGACCCCTGTGTTTAGTCATTTCCCCTGCCCACTTGCTGTGCTGGCTTCCACAGATGGTTCGAGAACCAGATACTGGTTCTTTCTACTGAAACCGCCATGGACTAGGATTTAAAAAACTCAGTTGTCTTGCAAATATAAATGAAGACTTGGTGGCCTGGAAATGTGGGACCCAAGGTGCACACTCAGCCAGCTGGCAGAAACCTTACACTGCTCAGCAAGCAGATGGGTGATGACACATCCCTGCCCCCTGTGGGGTGAATCCCAAACATCTGAGTCTTCTCCCCACACTCTGTGTGAAGTAGAGGGAATCCTGGTAGGCTACAGTGACCAGGATGAGGGAGAAGGTCATCTGTGTTCTGGTTTCTGAGGCTATAAGTAGAGTCACTTTGTCTCATATTACTGGGAACTTTTAATCCTTGGACAGAGGACACGTAGGCTGAGGAGGAGAGTTAAAAAAAAGGAACCAGCGTAGCAGAAATGCCCACCAAGAAGAGACAAAACTGAAGGAAGGAAAAGGGAGACAGGAATGAAGGGCTGGATGCTGGAGCCAGGGCTCAATGCTTACAAACACATGTTGCTCTTGCAGAGGACCCAGGTGTGATTCCTGGCATCCACTTGACAGCTCACAACAGGGTCTAACTCCAGCTGCAGGAGGTCTCACATGCTCTCTGTGCTGCTTGGGCACCAGGTAGCAATGTGTAGTACAGACACACATGCAGGAACAACAGCCATATACACAAAATTAAGAAAAAGCTGAAGGATATGTTGGGGCTGCACAGTGTGGAGAGTGGGACCCACTGACCCGCTGACTCTGCATCAGAACTCCTGGACAGCCTCTGATTCAGGACATCCCTCCACAGTGTGAGGGAATGGAGCCACTAATGAAGAACTTCTGAAATAGACACGGGTCATTAATCATTGATGGGACCTCACTTATGATTGACATCTGATGCTCCCAAAGACACTGACGGCGTCCTAGGAAGGACAGTGTTGGGGGTGACTAGTAAGCAGACACTAATGAGAGATGCCAATTGTAGGCTTTCAAATGAAGGGAAACAGAATAGGAAGCAGCAATAGGAAGCACCTGGGTTTGAAATCAGACCCTTAGCCTGCTGTCAGACATTCTATTGTGGGTTGTACTCTGGTGGCTTAAGAGAGTTTCCTTGGTATTTCACCTTGTTGCCATGCCTGTGCATCCCATAATATAGGTACATTTTATTAAAACACTCTCAGTCCCCCAGAGGCCCCTCATTTATCTCAAAGGTTCTTTTCCACCAGGAATCATAATGTGAATTCCTATAATAAGCCAGAGACTCTGCCTTCTCCACAGTCAGTACCTGATGGGTGTGGGAATCATGCTTGTCAACAGCGCTCCCACAGGAAAATCATAAAGGTCCAAATAATTTCATCTTATTTTTTAAAAGCCATGGTCACAATGCAGCTCAGTCGGTGGTGCATTTCTGGACACATGGGACTTTTGTGGGACAATCTTCATTTTTGTGGAAGCTCTTTCCCATCTAACAGAATTTCCCGTGTATCACTTTAACCAAATCAGTCTTCACAAATGGAATTGAAGCCACACAGCCAGGAATTATGTAACTGGAAGACTCTGGGTTCTCTTCCTATCTTGCATTGATCTAGTCAAAGCCTCCTGCCATGGAGAGACATGAGCTTCACTTTCCCAACTATCTGCCATTGCCTCTGAATTCTCTTCATAATCAGTCAGTCCTCATGGCCACTCAAACACTTCTCATAGACTCTGTGGCAAAGGCAGCCTGTCACAAATTGCTCACACAGTCATCACTTCACTATGAAATATCCTCTAGCTCTGTAAGTTCAACTCTATATTTTTATGCCTTTGGGTCATCAGGACTGCCATTCCATCCATGCTCAAGTATTCCCTCACCATCTTTCCAGCAGTGAGCACCCTGCAGGGCCTGTGCTTTGGAATCAAATAAGACAACCCAGTGGACGTTGGGTGACATCCTAATGCTGCCAGACTTACAAAAGGAACACTTCACCTTCCTAATCAGAGAGCACTACTCGGCTGGCATCTCTTCAACACCTGACAGGAGTGAGTTAGTGACTACAAAGTTCAGAAACCTCTGCTGATGTCCTGTCCCTCCTGGAGTCTTTGCCCACAGGCAGTGTTTGTGCAGGCTGGCACAGCCTCAGATTCTGACCCTCCCCCACCCCATCTCAGCCTGCCAGGAGAGTCTTAGAATGCAGAATGCAGTCCATCACTCGATGGGCAGCTCTGGACCACACTGAGACCATCGCTCATTAAGAGGGGACACTGAAGGAGGGTATGTTCTAGCCTCATTTCTGCTGCTGTGATAAAATGCCCAGGCAAGAGGCAAGTGAGGGAAAGGGTTGGTGTTAGCTCTCAATTTCAGGACATGGTTCCTTATTTCAGGGAAGTCAAGGAAGCAGGGGCTTTAAGTCACATCACATCTACCATTAACAGCAGAGGAAAATAAGTGCACACATGCTTGTTAGGGCTGAGCACACTTTCTACACCCACACAATCCAGGATCCCTGCCTAGAGAACAGTGCTATGTCTTCATACATCAATTGACTTAATCATCAAGACATTCCCCAACTGACAGGAACACAGGTCAACCTGATCTAGACACTGTGTTCTTCATTGAGACTTTATTTCCATGTGATTATACACTGTGTCAAATGGACTATTAAAACTTACTGTCCCTGTGAGGTTGAAGGAAAGAATACAGATGGGAAAAACAAGAAGGTAGAGAGGACTCAGCAAAGGTCAGAGTTCAGCTGTGTGCATTGTACTAAGGCACTTTGTGGGTTCCAGCCT